TTCACATCATAAAAAAATATTCTATGAAAAAGATTCACAATACCATTTTTTAAATTATTTCCGAGATTGATCCTTTCACTTTTACCTTTAAACAATGCTTTGATTCTCTATTTTTGCCTCTTGTTCATGTCAAATCACTAATACCTCTCTAAAGTGTTCAACTTTTTCCTGACAATTACTTCTATTCAAAATTTAAAACAGTCTTTTTAATAATGTTGTGTTAATAAAATAATATTTGTTGATGTTTTTAGATAATTGTTCTGCACCATAATTGAAATATTTACCATTTTAAGACAAATAGTTAGATATAAAACTCTGTCATCAATTAATAAAAAAAAAAAAGTAATAGACTTTCTTCAATTGGATCCCAATACCAATAGAATTTTTTGTAATAGTTTTCTCTAATGTTTATACAATTATAACAATATTACAAAATTAAACCAGAGCTATATTTTAGTAAATTAGTGAATATTTATTTCTTATCAGTAGGTTATTTTATTTTCCTATTTTTAAAGAGTAGATTAACTGACGATAAAACTAAAAAAAAATCTGATTTAATTTCTCCATTATTATTTTTCAATCCAACCAATTAATTTTGAATATTCTTCTACATACAAAGCTCTGTAATAACGAATAATTTTACGAAGCAGATAAAAAGTCTTCTTATACCAAATTACTTTTCAAGTAATAGAGATTTTATCATTTCTCAATTATAAGAATCAAGAAAAAGCCCTCCTAAAAGAAAAAAAAAATAAAATAAGGCAAGCATAAAATAAAAGCATCTTATTATTTCTCCAAAAAAACATGAAAGAAACTCGCATATTTTATTTAATACAAAAATGTTAAGTAATGCTTGGCATTACGACAAAAGTAAATAGTAACTGTAGTCAAATTTGAGGGGAAATTATCGTTGTTGTGGAAGTAACAACTCTAGGGGATTTGTCTCATCCAAGAGGATCGAGACGGGCATGGGGATTAGGATTTGATTTAGATAAGCTCACGAGCTCTTTCAGAAGCTTATCCTGAGACTTCTTTAGTCTCAATGGGGAAAGAAGAAAAGCTTGAACGCGTACCAGGCTATGAAACAAGGTTCTAGAATCTTGAAGTGAACGACTTTTGAATACTCTTTGAATCATGGTTCTGGACATTGATAAATATCCTGCCAACTAGAATAATCTGACATATATACAGCTCAAGCTTTTTTTGAATATACTTATTCTTTTATTTATTATACTATTTGAATAAATAAATAAATCCCTGTTATTTGTCTTGAAAAGCATTTGAAAAAAAAATCATCATTCAATTGTGATAAATTTAATTTTTTTCACAGCTAAAAACTATTTTATTTTCCAGAAAAATGACTCTATCAGTTAATATAGATCTTCATTCTTGCATGTTCGAATGTTTGCAAATCAATTTAAAGCAAAAAAAACATTATTTCTTAAAAAAAAAAACTCTCACGTTCCCGATGTACTTGTTAATATATTTCCAGTGACTTGCTGCTGCAAATTTGAAAAAAAATGTCTTTAATGTATGGCAATAGTCGGGAAATACGATGTTACTGTGAAAATATATTCTATAGTTTGTAGAGGAATTTATCTCAGCAAATAAATCCTTTCCCTTGAGCTCTCAACCATGTCTATACTTTATGAAACAGACTCATTGTTTCTCAAGCGTGAGATCAAAAGATTTCTCTCAACAGAACTGAATTCGAGAACTTGTAGCTTCCTCTGTGCATCTTATTTGAAATGACAAGTATATTTCTTGGCTAATAAATTTTCTCTTTTAATTACTTTCTTTTACTGGATTCTAGGTGAACATTGACTAATAATAAAATTATTTATTTCTGTGACTTTATCAACAAGAGTTCATGGTTCTTGGAGATGTTATTGCTTTTGGAGATGCTATCTTTGCCAAAGGTATCAAATAGTATAATTACTGATGAATGATCTCTCGGAATAATATTTAGAGAAGGTAATATCTTAGTAATTACATAAATACAAATTAGTATGTTTAATAACCAAAAGTTGGATGAGTTGTTTTCATTTATATCCTAATAGTTTAACATCAAAGCTTATTTCATTTGTTGAGAGCTTGATTATTTACATACTCAGTTAGTTAATAAATAAGCTAGATTTATGAGTCATTTTTAATTTAAAAAAAAAAACATTCAAAATAATACTTGATGCTTTAAGAGTAATTTAAATGCAATAAAGATTGATATGAGTTTGGATTTGAAAATAGTAAGATGAATACTAGTTGAGAAAAGTTAAAAATTTAGCAGTCAAATATTATCCTTAACGGATGCTTTGGATGGATCATTTAATTGTAGGGGGAAATAAAAAATAAAATACCGGAAGAATGAGTCTCTTGGGGTCGATACGTTGAGTAGAATCACCACAAACAATTTGACACGTGTTCGAATTCTCCATCACTATCTTTTAACTCACATTGCTTTCACCCACGAGCTAGTAACTCATGAGCGTTTTACAGAAGCTCCAACACGAGCACTCGTAAATTTCATTCCATGACTCTCTGGTTACCCAGACCTCTCTTTTGGTGATGTGGGAGTTCGGACATGCGGGAATTACGAGGCAGTTTGCGTTCAATGAGAGAACATCACGAGATATATATTCTTTTGTATCGCACAAAAATGTAATCGAACTGTTATAATTCTTTCATTGTTTAAAATTAGTAGAAAGTTGGGATAAAAAATCTACTTTATAGCCTTCCAACTTCTATTTAAACTTTTAGCGATAAAAAGTCTATATTTGATCTGTGGAAATATTTTATTAATGGATTTTGTCATTTTATTTGAAGCTTTAAAAAACATTTAGCATTGATAAAATTAAATCATAAAATATTTCTCTTGATATGATAAAGAGAAAATAGCAGGTGTTCTAAAAAATGGTTCAGAGATTTGTTTGTTTGTTCAATAAGCTAATATTCAGCATCAATATTTTTATGAAATTTTATTGATTCTGAAAATTACCAGTATTAATATTGAAATGTGAACGGTTAAATTATTCAGGTATTTACAGATTTTTATTTGAATGTTATTCCTCCTTTTTGATGTGCCCATTTACTTTTAATTACTGCATTTGTCATTTTCATTATCATTGCTATATAGAATAGGACTTTTAAAAAGTTGAAATTAAAAGGCTACTGACAATTTTGTAATTATTGCGTAAAATTCATTCAACTTTAATGACTCCAGTTAATGATTCTATAACTTTATTATCAGCTCTTCAACATAGAAAAATTGATTTCAATAAGCTAATTTTTTTCTAAAATCATCTTTCATCATTACTAGTATTTTTAAAAATTATGATTCAAAATTTAAAAAAGGACCTAGATGACAATCAAACTCAATTCTATAACTGTTGATAGATGATAGAACAAGTGAAAGAAAGTAATAGAGAATGCAAAAAATTTTTCAAGCTGAATTCTAAACTTATAGTTCACAAACATGCAATGTCAGTGATGCAAAGTTCAATTTAAAGCAGAAACTTCCAGTTACTTACTTCTCACGAAAACTTATTATTGATGTAAAAACATTAATTTATTCTGTGGACATGAGAGAGCTTGCAATACTATAGGCATTGTTAAAGACAACTTGAAAGCAAAGACTTGAGAGAAAGGAAAAAGGAAAGAGCAAGACAAGAAATAGCAAAAGAGTTAGCTGAATCTTCAACTCAAAGGAAAACTTAGCAAGGGAAATATTTATCATCCTGTCTGTGTGGATGATAAAATATCTTATATTTATTATCATATTTGATCTATAGAATAAATTAAATTGAGTTTTAGAGTTATTTAAATAAAATATTTTAAACTTTGTATTTTCCTATGTCAAAATAGATTGAATTTCAATTATTTAAGTACTGAACTAACTCCATTATCTACAAACTAACTTGCTACAAGACATTTTAAAGTAATATTAATGGATGTTAAAGAATTCTCTAGCATTTTTAGCAATTTTGTTCGAAGAGTTCATCACTTTCATTAAAATTCACTGGAAGTTAACCAAAGAAATTAGATAACCATGATTGACTAAGAGCTTTTGGGTTAGCAGAGCTATTTGTTGCTGTTACTCGTAATGTTAGAACTAAATTGTAACTAAATGTTTGTATTTAACAAATAGATCAATTGTTTGGTGATGGTACAAATGTTGTTTGATGGTGTTTTGTGAAAACTGATGGAATAATTTTTAAGTAAAGCTTAATTGTTGATGTTATCAAATGTTACTTGGTATTTATAATATCCTGAACTAAATTTAGTGTACCATTCATGAGTTATTATTAACTTTTTATTCCCACGGTCGTTTTTGACTCTCATTTATTTCATTCGTGGGCCATTAACTTTTCAAGTCAGTTTCATTTGGTACTTTTAAAGTTCTGAATGATGCTTTAGCAAAGTAGTACATTGAAAATCATCATTACTATGAGAAAGAATTTATTACTGATTTTAAAAAAAGTTTATTGCATGTCTTAATTGTTTTAATGTAGCATTAAGTTAAAGTTGAGAGCTAAAAGCATCATAAAAATGTCAATAACCGTAGGAAAATAGTTGAAAAATTTAATTAATCATTAAAATGAATATAAAAATAAACATGCATGTATTAAACATTGAGTTTTTTTTTTAATTATATTGAGTTAATTAAAATAAATTTTATTGTAATGGTGTGTAGGAGTATCCCTGAATAGAAATCTTTGGAAAAATATCAAATACCAATAAAGAGCGTCATGTTAGAGGTTTTATCAGATTTGTATATAAGAAAATATATAATAAAATAAGTAAATATTTGGTAAGAAAAATAATTGAATTTCGATAAAGCAAACATTTTCATCGATGTGAATAAAATACCAACATAAAAATATTTCTACAAGAGAATTTTTGCTTTATTAAAATTTGGTTCCATTTATCTAACAAGCCTGAGGGATCGAAATTCAATTATTTCAACATCACCAAAATAGTATTCTAGAAAAAATACCAAAACTCACTTTAAGTGGTGGTCTTGTGGGATCCTTCCGATACTCTGCATACCTTGCTTCAAAGCTATCATCCCAGTATTCTCTACTTCTCATCCAAGAAGGCTGAAAAAAAAAGAATTCAGAATATAAAAAATGATTATTTAAAAAACAATTACTTATCTTTTATTATACACAGACGAAGAGGCCATCAAGAAAAAGGTAATAAAAAATTTCGAAGAAAATACAAAAGTCGAGAGAGAAGGAAGTAGAATTCCTCCATAAACATTTCCAAGCCAGAATTGACTGGAAGGAAGAGAAAAAGACCCAGCTGGTCTCGAGAGTCCATGATCCTAGATATAGGTGCACACATTCAACGCCATTTTCCAAAAGTCTGTAGAAGCCCTACACACAAACTCTGTGATGCAAGAGAATGGAAGAGAATGTGAATCCCATTCACGAAAGAGTTCTAAAAGCTTTCCAGACGATTTAAGCGGCGCGACCGAGATTCGTCCGAGAAATTTGATAATGGACGAGACATGGAAGGCTGGACAATAGAACATTGCCGGAAATTTCTCGGCCAGAGCATACCACATCCTCAATCCATCGAATGTTCTAAGGGATCAACGTTCAAACTATCCTCTTGAGGAGTATCCAAATGGCTGGAGATCTTTCCCGAATATCTCTCGTCTCCTTCTACGACAATCCAATGCGCTTTAACGAGCCTCACGGGAAGCTCCTGTCGAGTCAATATAGAACCTCTCTATAGAAAGCTCCAACATAAAAATCACGCTCGCTTGAGGTGGTCCGCGTAATCCACGCCTGTGATCCCTAGGGCCACATCTGTAGGGATTATTGAGCTTCCGCTTGACGATTGATCGACTTTTCAGAGCCTTCAATAATCGTTCAGATGACAGAGGACTTATGAATTTGTCTACAATCGCTTCCTCCTTGTCAGAAGGGAATTAAAAGGTGTTCTTAGCTTTTCTCGGTAAGGTTATTTCATTAGGGGTCGGGGCTTTTTTTTTGGTGAGAGTCAATAAGGGAAAAGAGACGTAATTTGATCAAATGGTAATTCTGTTTTTTTCCCTTTAGATAGATAAATGGATTTTCCTTATTTATGTACACACATATATTTTTTCATGTTTATTTTGAACAAAAAAAAAATACATTGTTACTTAAAATATCTTTTTATCTCAAAAATTTATTATCATAATAATCTTTTATTTACTCTTTATTTAAATTAATAAATAAAACTTATTTTGTAAAAAAATTACTGTAAATAAATGTCATTAAATAACTTTTTTAAAAACATTAATTATCAGTATTATTAAAAATAGTATAGTTTGAAAATTTTAATTAATATTTATTCCACAAATTATCATTTAAAGTACAAAATTATTATTTTTTAATTTCAAAATTCTCAATCAACGGTGGAAATTTAATTTTAATTCCATTCTACACGGAAAAAATTAGAAATATAATCAAAATAAAATTCAAGAAGAATAGCAAGAACAATATTTGTGGTTTGCATGAGAGTTTTCGACAATATTTACACAAATGAAAAATTCTACAGTAATATTTACAGATGCATGGTCTCATTGTCTTCTTATGCTTTGAAAATTTTAATGAATACCCACAGGAAACACGCTTGGTACGGTTAATTATTTCCAAAATTCAAGAGATGCACATTACAGGTTTTCATGTTGTGCCATCTTTTATTTGAAAATATGTATTATATAAAATGCATAAAAAAAGTATTTAAAAAAGAATCATGACCCAGAAATATTCAGCAACTGAATGGACTGTGATAGAGATCTACTTATTGCTGGTGAATTATTTTTTACAACAAACTCCAAACTATTTACTTGATTACTTGAGCTATAGAGTGATAAACCTTTGTGATCTTCATTAGTTAATAGAAGAGATTTCCAATAGAAATTGGCTGTATAGAACGCTATTGCTATAGAAAGAGACTTGAACTTCTGTACCATGATCCAACCATACTTTGGCTTAATAGCTATGGCTTTATCTACTGCAGGAAAGTTTGATTCAAATCTTGGATGCTTCCTTGGTAACCATGAAGTACTTGGTTAGCCAAAGGATGGAAATAAAATTTCTTCTTCAAAAAAAATTAAATTATGATTATACGTTATAATATCTGAAAAGAAATCTAATTAAAATATCTAATGACAATGTAAAATAATAATTTTAAAATAAATAAATGGAACTTTCTATCTGTCTTTTCAATTGTTTTGAAGTTAAGAAGAGTTTTTAATGAAAAGAAATATTGTTTTTTTTTTTGTGGATAAAACTCTAAACATCACTTAAATCTTGTAGAGAAAATTAAAAGTCAACTAAAAACAATTTAAAGTGAATTTATTATGAAATTTATTATTATTTTGTCAGAAGTAAAAGTGGGAAAGCTCAATGTGTTGGAATTTTCATCGAAATTCTTTCCAACTTTATGTGTAAAAGCTGATAAAATTTCTCTAAAAAAAAATAAAACACATCAATTCTCTAAAATATTTACATCAACTTGAAAATTTTCTATATCAACATGTATTCATTTAGTAGTTGTTGCAAAAAAAAAAACTCACTATCAATATATTCAAATTAGTTGACTTTGTGTTCTTTACCAAGCTCCATAACTGACCATGTGTCATACCTAAGGATAATTTATGTGCTAATTAAGACTAATTGATGTATTAAATGAATATATTGGATGGACATAAATCAAACTGCAACAAGCTAATATTTCAGAATCTAGACTCGAGGTGTAAATTAATAGCACGAAGGTAACAATAAAAACTGTAATGAGAAAATTGAATTAATTATACTTCCAAAGAGATTCTATCATCAATAATAAACTCATAATATTTCTTCTTCCAGAACCACTACACTGCTTCAATCAAATTCACAACAAATTCTCGATTATTAATCAAAGAAGAAGCGGATATTAATCAACATCAATATGCAGCCAAACTACAAATTGAATATGCTAGGATGTCTTAACTAATCATCAGCAAAGAGAACTTGATAGTCATCATCAAAGATACATTAACCTACTAAATAGCCATTGGTTTCGGACATGGCTATATTCTCCAAACTCTAGCTAGCAGAAAATGCGATTCGATCACCATTAACCTCGAAAGCTTCCTCTACATCAACATGGAAAAGCTTGAAGATGTATACTTGGTGGATATGCTTTTGAAGAAAGCTCTGTCGTAGAGTATCTGCAAAGAGAACGAATAACGATGGTATATAGGATAAATAGGAGGAAAAGAGAGATAGTAACTATGATTTATAGCCTGCACAATGTCGACGAGAATGCCAGGAAATATATGGAAATACATTCTACCGCACATCGTGGAGGATCAAACTGCAACTGAATAATAGCTATGGAGTGCAATAGAAAAGAGAAAGATGAGGCCATATCTGGTAGTCTACCATGTAAACGGCACACCTAAGTACTCGTCAGCATTAAGACCAGCCGAAAAAAAAGAAGAATTTTGCAAAAAAATTTTTTTCCTTCAATTTTATTCTATTTTTAGCTACAGCAAATGCTTCAGATACATTCAATCCTTATTTGCGAATGTCTTTTTCATCTTATTCTACTGCTTACTACTTTTCTACTCGAGTTTTAAATCGCATTAACGTGTTCTTGTGTTTTATTGACCTGATTCTTTTTTTTTTGTCTACCATTTGGAAGAAGAATAAAAATTTCGAGAAAGAAAATACCCAGAAGTTGGATTTTCTGCTCTTTTAAGTTGAAAAAAGTGATATGTGAGAGAAAATAGGATGAATAATATTTAAACCACAGAAAATAGTGGCAGAGTTTTTGTAATGACAATTCCTCGGATTTGTTGAAATTTTTCTAAGTGAAAAATGTCATTTTTTTTATTTCTTTTAAAATTAAGTTTAAAAGAATTATAATTAAAATTATAATTATAACATACTTTTAAATGTATTAGTTAATTAAGTGTGAATAACAAGAAGGAATTTAATTTCATTTTTGAATTATTGTTTTGTTAAATTAAGGCAAAGGAAATATATTCTTTATTTAATTTACAAAGTTGAACAATACCAGAAATTAAGTTAAATCATCATTTAGAGAAAAAGGGTGCTCTCTTATTTGCTCGCTTTTGTCTATTTTACAAGGCTTTTAACAACAGCAAAACTTCCTTAACTTTTTACTTTATCTTACCTCTCTGGCATTCAGGATTTTTTCCAACATTGTTACTGTACTATAAGGCATTTAATGAGCAAACTTAACATCAAAGATACTTTCATTAGTAAGTACTCAACGAAAGCGTGAAGTGATATTCGACACAACTAGTTAAAAAATAAATATTATAATTTTATAAATAAATATACAAACTTTTATAATCACTACTGAAATATTTGATAGACTCATTCAAATGAAAACAAAAAAAGAATTTCAAGCATTTTTTTATTAATCTGATAAGATAGAAGAATTTTAGGAAATGTTTCAAAGTAAACTCGACAAAGTATCTTAAATATTACTTGAAGAAACTTGGTTTTTTTTATCTCAAAGTTGAGATCAAAAGACTGAAAAAATGTGCAAATCATAAAAGTAGAATTCTTTTTTATTGATAATGGTTTTCATCAAAATTCAGTCTATATATAAACCATTGTATATCTATGTACATAGGAAAGCAAGTTTGATAATCTACCCCATGGGAAGTTAAAGTTTAGTTATCGTGTTCTCAAGGGCGAAACCCTCTTCGAAGGGTTGATCGTTAAGGGGTTGTTTTGCTTCCAGTGATCAGGCTTGTAATTATGATAATTATCTGATAAGTGATGATACTGTTATATATAGTAATTTCATTCCCCATCATATTATTTTTTCAAGCATCTACTCATGTAAATCCTCTTTCGTGATAATTATTACCTACTTCTTTTTGCTCCAATGAACTGATTACCTATTATTTGTTATCAAAGCACATACTTAGGTATTCTTTCAATTATTATTAATTTAATGAATAGTTCTTTAGGTACTAATATTTTTCTATCCAATATACATTTTACTAATAGATAATTTTTAAATGAATATGAATTCTTGTTTGGATTGAAAATAATCTGACAGGGAAAGATTCCTTTGT